CAACCTGTTTTTCTAATGGTGCCGAGGTTGGGCAGACCACGTCCGTACGCCTCTCTCTCTCTCTCTCTCTCTCTCTCTCTCTCTCTCGTTGTTTCTCTGCTGGATTTTTTCGTTCGTGACCGGTGATGGTGTAGTTAATCTACGGGCAGAAACGAAGCATTTGCACAGGTCAGACGCAATAATTATTCGGACTTCAAAAAAAAATGTGTTTTGTTTTCGAATTCGATCGGATCTGACAAGGGGCCTCGTTAGACTCTCCTCGGAAAATCCTCAGGAATTAGGACGAAGTCCTTAGAAAATTTTCGGTTTTCGCCGTTGTCGTTACACTGCGTCCTAATTCGATGGGTCCCAAGGAAAACCCTAGGAGGCCTCCGGCGACCGATTTCATACGCATACACGCGGCCGCGGGGGGCGGATGCCCGTCATCGTGCTAAGATGTCCGTGCGTTGTTGGTGTGGTGCAGTGGCGGCGAAAGGGAGGCCCGCCTCAAGCCACTGGGATAGGAAAAAAAAAATGGCGCGACCATCCCAATTCAAATGTTGAAATTTGAAACCTTTATAGTGACGCGTCCGCGCCAGAGGCGAGAGGGCCGTTGGAGTGCACACTGGAGCCAAACGTCCGTATGGAGCAGTACTGGTGGGCATGGCTTAATAGACGGGCACTGACACCGACGTAGCACGAACGGTAACGATCGTCACGCGTGACGTCGCCAACGGGTTCCACCTTCCTCTACGGGTCGTCCATGCCAATCCTGTGACCGCCATAGCTGACCGCGTACATCGGGGGGGTACGTGAAGTGTGGGATTTCGTGAAGCACGTAGAGTGTTGCCGCCATATCCGTCGATGTGGAGACAAGGGAACGAGGGCACCGAAGAGCAAAGGGGTGCTGGGCATTTTCGCATTGCACGTTATGAACATGGAGGGAGAGGTGTGGGCCGTTGGGAATGCATTGGCGAGTGCGGAGAGAAATGTCGTGGTTGCCGCTGCGTCGGTCGTCGCCAATCGTTATCGCATTGAGAGAGTCATAACTCGCTTGAAGATGAGATTGTCCATTCGCAGGCAAAGGCAGCTCATGCAACTAGTTATGAAGGCGCCCAATTGTGTGTCGTTATCGGAATCCATTGTGCAATTCTGTTATGCTATGGAATTGGGTGCGATCCCGAGGGCGAGTCCGAGATGGTGGAGGAGAAGAAGAACGGGCGGGACATGGGAGGATCTCCGGAATATGGATGACGAGGTGGAGGGCTATATAACGAGAAGTTATGGATGTCCCGTAAAGTGTTCCTGGAGATCGTCGAGGCGTTGTCCCCTCATCTGCAGCGCAGGGTGACATTCTAGTACAGGGAGCCTGAACATCGTCGCATATGCGCTTTATTGTTGGGCAAGCGGGGACACGTACGAGAGCACGACGTCGTCATTCGGTATAGGTCGCTCGTCAGGATTGATTGCAGTGGAGGACGTGATGAGGACGCTTCTAAGTGTGTATCGGAAGAAGATCGTTTGGCCTTCTGGGTTGCGACGGCAGGTCGTTCTGCGCGCGTTCGAGGCGAAGGGTTTCCCCAACTGCTGTGGCTGCATATACTGCACGCACATCTACGTGGACAAACCAACTAACGCGCCGCCCGAGAACTATTTCGACCGGAAGCATCGTTTTTCGGTGGTTACACAGGTGGTTGTGGACTTGGACTTGCGTGTGACAGACGTTTTCGTCGGCTATCTTGGGAGTTGTCACGACATCCGAGTGCTTCAGTTGTCCACTCTATGCACGCGCGCTGAAGAAGGGGATCTTTTTCGTGGTCTTGCTGTGCTCCTGCCATTCGGGATACAATCACACGGGTACATCCTTGGCGATAATGGCTATCCTCCCATGGAGTGGATCGTGGTGCCTTTTGGAGGGACCGATCAAATCCCCGAAGGAGAGGTTCGACAATAAGCAGAAGGTTGCCAGAGGAGTGGTGGAGAGAGCTTTTGGTAGGTTAAAGGGGATGTGAAGGTTTTTCCGCCGCACACACAAAACGAATACGGACACTCTTCCACAGCAGTTCCTAGTCGTGTGCATTCTACACAACATCCTCCTGGATGTCGACATCGACTTCAACGACAACTTGTTGTGGGAGGTGGACGCGAATGGTGTGCGACGGCGAGTGGACTTGGGGATGGATCATCCACCCCACCCCATTGCGGAGAATTTCAATCGGCCCCGGGCGTTGGCCTTGCGCTATAACATCTGTGAATGAACGCAAGGGAATATGACATCTGCAGTCCTCCACGGGCGCTTGTGTCGGTGATGTTGTCCGGGTAGATGGTCTTGTTGCCCTTCGACATGGTGTCTATCTCATCGTACACGCGCTCCTCCATTCTGAAGTTGAAGCCTTCTTCCGTTCTCAAAGCAGGTGTGAGGTTGAAGAAGTTCTTCCCCTAGAGGCGTTCTGATACCGTTGCACTTTCTTGTACTGTTGGAAAAGGTTGTCCCACTTCTTGCCGATGTCGCCAGTCGTCCTATCCACCCCCACCTCCAGCAAATGCTTTTGAAGGTCCTGCAGCTTCCATTTTTGTTGCGCATTGTGCTGCATGCCCTCAAAATGAGCTTGCTGATCCCTCTTCGCCCGGGCGAGCTTCAAAATCTCCTCAACACTCCACGATGGATGTTTTCCTACGTTGCGACTCGTACTCACCCCCGTACGAGTACAAGTTGTACTCATTTCTTGTACGTTACTCGTACTCAAGGCCCGTACGAGTTTTTTTTTTTTTTTTTACTGTTTTTTTTTTTTTCTCCAATGCTGAAAAGAATCTGCAGATGGTGCTCAGGCAAATGTTGCTTGTTTTGGGATGTTACATCACATATATTTTTTTCGAATTTTTTGGATGACTTTTTTTTGTTTTTTTTCGTACGGGTCGTACGGGGCCGTACAGGTTCCCGTACAGATATTATGTGTACGTTTCGTACGGAAAGGCCCCGTACGTGTACGTTCGGTAACGTAGATGTTTTCCAGCCTTCTTGCCTGACGGACCCTTCGAGCGGCGACCACCACGGGAAACAACCTTCTCTTGTCGCACGCCTCCACCCCTTCCTCTGCCACACACAGACAGGGGTCGAATCTCTATGTCGTCCGCGTCTTCCGCTTCGTCTTCGCAAATCACATTTGTAGATTCGTAATCGCTCGCCCGTTGGGAGTCTTCTGCATTCGGTTCTCCACTCGCCACACGCATACTGGACACCCCATTCGTTATGTTCTCCGCGGCCTTTTGACGCATCTGTCGCCGACATGACTCCCATACTTGCCTGCCAACTTCGTCCGATCCGGCAACACTTGTGTTCGCCGCCGGTCACTGTGCGCCCATCCTCTGGCGCAGTGCACTCAAAGGCGATGCCGAAGGGGGGGCCAACGGCGTGCAAAGCATGTCACCGGATGATCCCGCACCCTGAGAAGATGGAGACAGTGAACGACACCCATCAAGGCTCACACCTTGCGGAGAGGACCTTCCACCATGCACACTCGATCCGCCGATGGTCGCACTTGGCGCTAGGTTGAACATGCGAGTGTGTGTAGCTGTTGGACCACTCCCGCTTGACAAACCAAAATCCAAGTCTACAATCTCTGTATCGCCTCCACTGACATCGTCCTCTAGCAGAGCAGAGAACGAATGACGACTTATCATGCCCTCCCGTTGTCCACAATGACTCCCCATCCAGTCCTGCGTCGATCTGGTCCCCAGAGGCAGAGTGTGGGGCAGATCATCTACCCATTGCTCTTTGGGATCCGACGATAAAGGCTGCTCGTGAGGCGGGAGATGACTTCACAATGCCGGGTCATACGCGCCTGCAAGACACGCCCCGACCGTCGCTCCTGAAGCGGAGTACTCGACGACGCGCGACGGTTGTCTGTTGGATGCTTCACGCCTGTCCATCGTTGTCTTCCTCAAAGTTCGTCGTTTTCGTCTGCCGCAAGGACCCCGGAGAACGACGAACACGTGGAACAACACGACAACGAGCAGGAGAAGAGTGGCCAGCAGCAGCAGCGGGAACCGTCGGAGGACGTCTGCCATGAACCGCAGCGTGTGACACGTGTACCAAACGAAGATTGCATCCCCGTGGGCAACAATAGCACACAAAACAAGCTACGCGGGTGACTGCAATCGGCCGGCATTGCTTCAACCCTGCTTCTAGAAAAATTGAAAAATCCGACCGTTGGACGTGGAGGCCGTCGACGCGCGCACGCAAGACCCCGCTCCGTGGAGCGCCTCGCAGCTGAAGATCCGCCCCCACGCATTTTCGCACCAACGGCAACGGTCTAAAGGCCGTTGGCAGCCCGTCGGGTACTGGAGGCTGGCGATGTCCGCCCAATGGACCACGAACGACCTGTGCACCAACATCGACTCCGAATTCTCTTGTGCTCGTGAGCTCCAGAACACTCGGTCTATCGCGGATCCTATATCCCAAGGGACCTCGCGAGGACCCCTTGAATCCAAGGACGTTTTGGCTGGGGATTCCGAGGAACCCAAGGAAATCTCTTGGGAGCGTTTTCACATTCGTTCAAGGGATTGGCGATTTAGGACCCCGTGTAAGGACCCGATTTCTGATTTTGCGGTTTTCCAATGAGGGTCTAACGAGGCCCTAGGAAGAGGATTCGATCCGATGATCTGTATACTAGCCGTTGCCGTCGCATGTGTGAACCATGCGGCCACATCTGCTGAGTGGACTTGAATCTTCCCCCGGACACAACGCGGAGCGGACTCTGAACCTGGGGCAAGGTCCGATCTCCGCGTATTCTTCATGCTTCATTGCGGATCGTAGATTGCGAAGATCCATGGCCAGAAATTAAGGACCTTGTTACGGGCAAGTGGGGCCTATGGTAGCCCTTGGTTTACTCACATAATCCGGTTTGTGGTGTTCGTGCCGAGTTTTGGCTGACGTGTAGGTCCGTACCATTGGAATCTGATGGACTCGGCTATGGCGTAGGCGTCAGGTCGAGTCGCCGATGACGTGGCTAGACCACGAGGCGGTGGCTGATGCATTGTGTTTGAGAGAGAGAGAGAGAGAGAGAGAGAGAGATGAATAGATAGGTAAGTAGATTGGTAAGTAGATTGGGGGAGAGGGGGAGAGAGACTGGTATTAATGTAGAGAGAGTTCGTACACTCCCCCTCGCCCCTTCCTCAATCATATTCTCCCTCTCTCTCTCTCTCTGTGTGTCTGTGTGGCTGTTCCTCTTCCTTTCTCTCTCTCTCTCTTCTATTTCTCTCTCTTGTTTCTCCGTCGGCCGCCAGCTGAAAGAGAGAGGTTGTTTGTTTTCTGTTTTCTTTTTTTTCTTCTTTTGTGTGAGTTTTTTGTTTTGTTTGTTTTCTCTTCCACCGGAGTGAACTGGATTTGATAAAGGAAACAAACAAAAAAAAAAATTGAGAGGGGAAAAAGAAATGGCGACGCCATATTGTGGTCCGTGCGCCGGCAATTGGCTTTTGAGTCATGCAGCCTTGTGCTTCTGCCACGTGGCGTCGTCGGGATTACCTTTCTTGATGAGTATATGACACGTCTACACTGTGGTTAACGTTGACCGAGTCGGCATCCGACTGACTTCTTGCCCACTCTGAAGGTATGTTCCCTGCTTCTCTCCTCTCCTCTCCCTCCTCCTTCCTACTACTATTTCCCCCTTCAATTCTCTCTCCCTCTCACCCGTCTCTCTCTCTCTCTCTCTCTCTCTCTCTCTCTCTCTCTCTCGGTGTCTCTCTCTCTCTCTCTCTCTCTCTCTCTCTCTCTCTCTTTCTTTCTTTCTTTCTTTTCTTCCCCCCATGCACATTCACGCATTCTTGTGCTGTCAATGGACTTGTAAATCGTGGTCCATCGTACACCGAGGCCCCGAGAGAGAGAGAGAGAGAGAGAGAGAGAGAGAGAGAGAGAGAGAGAGAGAGAGAGAGAGAGAGAGAGAGAGAGAGAGAGAGAG